GGTTTCAGATAATCGCCAATGTTCTTTATAAAAACACTAACGAATGAGAAAGCAGTGCTTGCTGTGTTTTTCTTGCCCAAAGCAGCTTCTAGTGGTGAGTTCTTAAGCTGACCTGGATTTAGGGGAGTTTGATTTTTCTCTTGCTACTTGTGAATCTACTTCAGTAAATGTCATCATTGTCCCCAAAAGTAGCGCTGATCCACCTTCAGGGATTTTTTTTTCTGTTAGAAAAACAAAATTAAATTAAATTAAATAGTAGCCAGGCTTCTTTTACAGTGATTCTAAGAATCTTCAAATCATTGGTTTTGTTTTCAATTTGCACTTTAACCCAAGAGCGATTTCTAATAGGAACCACTGAGATGGAGTAAAGGGAACCCTTGCTAAGCTCCACACAGTGAAACACTGCCGAAACAGACCTTGTGTGACCCCTGGAAGTCTCCCCAAGAAACAGGCTGAGGGGAAGCCCTGGTGAGTTTCTTTTGCCCATAAGGAACTCACACCTCCGTCTCCTCTATCAGAGTGAGTACTAGGGGTTGAACCTGAGGCCGTCACACTGAGATATCGAGCCATCTCCCCTGCCTACTTTTTATTTTTGTACAGGGTCTCACTGAGTCCAAACTTGTGAGTTCGTGAAGGCAGAGATCATGTCACGGTCACCTGTTCTATCCATATTTCTAACACAGGGCCTGGTGCACCAAAGTCAGATGGTCAGAAATAAGAGATGGTTTTATGTCCTCTTGAAATGACCAGTCCAATTCAGGAGAATGTTTTCCAAAAAGTATCTTTCTAAAAGTTTGAGCACAGTGATTCATGGCGTCAGTTTTCAAAAGCCTCTGAAAGAGAGACAGTGAAAGAACAGCTCAGTTGCTGGACCATTGGAGGTAAAGGGAAGGAGGCGGGAAAAATGTTTATAAGTTGAATGCAGGTTTGAGAAAGTGCTACACGTTTTTCCTCTGTTTGCCAGATCACTCTTGGTATGAGAAAGCGCACATTTCTAATGATTAACATTCTGGGGTGTGGGAAGTAGTGTGTGATAACAATATCAGAATTGTATTCCTTTATGCTCTCATCTGTCATAGGGGATAGTCTCTCCGGTGAGATACGGCTTCCTTTTTATCACAGCTGATAACCAGGATGACAGGAGGTGGTACTGCTAACTATTAGAGCGTTTGATAAGTGATGGGAATTCTACTCCAGTGGTCCTCCTCTTGTGGTTCACAAATGCCCCTCCCAAATTGCTTGTCAGTGGCATTAATTCCAGGAGAGTTGCTCCCAGGAAGGAGATTACCCTCCCCATCTTCCCTCTGGCTGACATCTCTTAAAAAACCTCTATTTTCTAAAGAAAAAATATCTTCAAAATTGCCCTCGTTTCTTATGTATATATAAGTACTTATGAACAAGTTGGCCATCACATTTATCCTGTGCTCTTATTCATAGCACTGCACAAAAACAATGTCACTCTAGGCACCGCAAAGCTGCCCACGCACCAATTTCAAGACACTATAAAATATTGCATAATCATCATGGAAAATGATGAAATGGAATGTTGGCAGGGAAAACCTCCTGAGAGGGTGTTCAAACAAGAAACCTTATTGCTCAGGAGCGGTGTTAAAACCGTAGTCGGTCAAGGAGTCAGTCCAGGCTTCTTTATCAAAGGCCAGCAGTGGGCACAGCCCCAAGGGGCACTGGGAGAAGAGTCAGAGGCAGAGAGAGCATTCACTGCTGCAAGAAGATCGTGGGCTTCTCCAGCACTAAGGAGATGCTGGCTTCGACTGTGGGCCGGGTACACAGACGAAAGGAACCCAAGTGCAGAGTGGAAGTAATTCATTCATTTGTCCTGCATTTAACAAGCTTTTATTAAGTGCTTCTATTACCATAAAGCACTGTGGAAGGTACTTCGTGGAGCTACAGCTTTGGGGAAAGTAGACAGATAAACTGTCACAATTCTTAGTGAATCCAAAATGATTGGAGATTTCTTTTGAATCCAAAGGAAAACTGATAAAAGAAGTGGCTAACAATGGGGTAGAGACATAGTAAATTTTACTTACTCGCACAGTTTCGAAGGAAGCAGAGGAAGTGGAGAAAATGTGCAGATTTTGGAAGTGTATACTACATATTCTAAAAGAAAAGGCTACAAAAGCTTTACATTTTTTATTTTATTTTTAAAATGGTCTCCACGTTTTATTAAAGTAGGAAAGGAAGCACACCCTGCAGTGTGAGGGCGGGCTACCATGAACAGGCATGTTAGCCTGACTCTTGTTTTATAACTGGAACTTGCCTTAATTGTGGAAAACTCTGTTATCGTGATGTATATAAAATATAAGGGTCATTCAAGGCAAATGAAGAGGAATGCATTGATGACATAACTTTAGAAAATGTGCTTCTCTTAATGTTCACTCAGCTTTTCTTCTTTTCCACATAGCCAGCAAATACTCTTAGCTCTATCATTTTTCAGCCTACAAAATGGGGGTCATAAATTTTTTTGCTGTCCTTGCCCTTAGGCTGGAATCCCTTTTCTGCATCCATAATGGACTTTAAGAAGTCTATATTCCCCACCCATTTGGAGATTCTGTGTAACATACACATGTGTGGTTATTGTTTCTGGAAAGATCAGCTCAAACTACAGCATTCTGGGCTTTCCTGAAAAAGTGCTGAATAAATAAGCTTCATATTATATGGGGAAAAAGTGAATGAAACAATTGCCATGACATTCTTTCCCGAGAACATATTTGCTGGTGTTTCTGATGGAGACGGCTTGGGGATACCTTTTGCTAATCATGGAACGAGATGGCAGGTTCTATCTATGCAGTTGCTTTTTTCCTTCTACAGAGAACTTACAAACAAGGCTTCCCAGTGTGGCACCTCTGTTGCTGTTTTTCATTTGTGTGTGGGCTTTCCCACCTTTTATTTCCTTTTATCCTCACCGAAAGACCCACTCTGCACATTTTTAGTTGTGAAAGTAAGGCTTGAGAATGGAGTCTCTTAGCCAAGCTCTCACAGACAGAGGGTGAAGAGCTGGGCCTCAGAGCTTGCTTTTCCTGCACACTCATGGTTCTCACCATATTCACTGTGCCCAGCCCCCGTGGAAATAGCCTCGGGCTCTCATCACTACTAGTGTATCAGTGGCAACAATCCAGAGTCCACTGAACGGGCTCTTTAAAATGTGCTTGTCACGATGAGTATAATCATTAAACACTGCGAACAAGTGCTAATAAAAATGTAAGTGAATTTGTTGGTGAGTTAACTTACCACAGAAAATTCGAGGACCTTTAATTTTTATATTTGTTTACTTATTTTTTACATCCTGGGGATATGAGCCCAGGGCTTTCACACTGAGTTACATCCTCAGCCCTTTTTATTTTTTATTTTAGGGCAGTCTTGCTAAATCACTAACTTGCCCAAGTGAGGCTCAAACTTAGGGTCCTCCTGCCTCAGCCTCCCAGAGTAGCAAGATTATAGGCACGCTCAGCTAAAAATTCTGATGTAATTTGGAGACAGCCTAGGTCATGAAAAGAAAGAATTCTTCAGACATAACCAGGTGCCCACCACGACATTTTCGCATCTGGAAATTGAATATAATGCTACCACTTCTGCTATCTTCCAAAGCACATTCTGCAAGTCAAATCTTGAGCAATACACAAAACTTGTTAAAGATATTCCACGACATGCAAACCTCGGGTGTTATCTTGATGAACACATAGAATGTGTGTCCCGACACGGAAGTCAGATTTGGGTACACCCGGTTTTTGCGTGGTTTACACCGCAAAGGAAAAAGTGAGCGATGACAAAAGCCGTGGAGAGGGATCAGTGTTCGGGTGTGTGGCCTGTGCACGAGACCGATTTACTTCTGAATGGAAGGACGCGGGTGCGGTGAGCCCGCCGTGACACGGCAGCTGCCATTTGAATCTTCCCAGCCGTCCTCTGTGCTTGGTCCGCGCCTTAGGTGAGGACCCTGAAGTTGAGGGAGACCCGAACCTTGCCGCTGTCCAAAGCGCCTCTGGAAAGTCCTCCTTTGGGAGTGTGCTTTTGTGCTGTCGTGGATGCCTCGATGCCCTGAGCTGACTCGGAAATCTCGACAGCAGTTAGTCACACAGAAACAGGGCGGTGTGTCTCCCCCACTTTATTCACTAAATGTGGCACCGGGTGCCTTCCGGCTCTTACCCGAAGTCAAAATGACCATGAGAATAAAAAACCTTTTGAATCGATTTGGTGCATGGTGGCCACAACAGCACAAGTAAAGACACAAGAAGGGTTTTCAGAACTACTTTAGAAAGTGAAGAGAATTATGGAAAAAGTTTTTAAAGCAAGGGAGAGTATTTTGAAGGCAAATAATGGCAATGTATCCTTTACTCTGATAAGTATTTATTTAGTTAGTTTGAGAAAGAGTCTCACCCTGTAGTCCAGGCAGGCCTTAAAGAACTGTGGTGATCCTCCTGCCTCAGCCTCACGAGGGCTGGGATCACAGGTGTGTGGCACCATGCCTGGCTCACCATTTCTTAAATCACCATATTTTCTGTTCACACCTAGGTACAATCTCAGCTTCAGTGTATTTTGGATACATCAGCATTGGCTACTTGGGGTCATTCATTTTTTGTTGTTGTTTTTCTGTTTCTCCCGTGCTGGGGATTGAACTCAGGATCTTGCACTTGCAAGGCAGGCACGGCGCCACTGAGCTAAATCCCTGGCCCTACTTGGGGTCATTCTAATGGGATGTGTTGAGGACAGAGCAAAGCACTTGTACCTCCCAGAACCAAACTGAAACAGTCCTATTAATGCTAGATAAAGCAATCTAATGGAGAGCCAATCTAACGGAGAGCTCATAGATTATAAATACTTAGCTATAAAGTGTGTGGCTAAATGAAAATAATTTTCACTAGCAGTGATGTGAATTCTGAGCATCTGTAATCACTGGCGGAGACCTCCTTGCTTATTGTTTGGTAGCATACGGTCTTGTGCAAAAACAAAAAGGTAGTGGATAACTATTCCCTTTTCTATCACAGGTTGATGACCAAATGAAGCTGCTTCAGAACTGCTGGAGTGAGCTCTTAATCCTCGACCACATCTACCGGCAAGTGGTCCATGGAAAGGAAGGGTCGATCTTCCTGGTTACTGGGCAACAAGTGAGTACAGAGACCCGCCGTCCCCCAAGCATCTTGTTATTAAGCACATTCAGAAGGCAGGAATGTAACTAGGTCAGGAGCACTCTGGTGCTCTGAGGGGAAGAGATTGGCTGCGAATAATTTAGAAAAGATGACTTGGTGCACTCAGTTCCTGCTCTGATGATTACAGATAAACTTGTAAAAGCAAACATAATCACAAGCATTCTGCTGTTTCCAGTCTGTGGGGATGGAAAGTTCTGCTTCCTGGAGTCAGAATGGTTGCTAAATCAAATTCAGTGATTAGTACCGAGTTTTTTCCCCTCGGGCTGCTGCATTAACCTGCTGTGTTTGCTTGCTGACTACTTTAAAACCTTAAAACTTTAGCATCTGTACAATGTGGGAATGCTATGGGTGGGAGATGGAGTCAAATGTCACCTACAGTCAAAGTAGTTGGCATAAAGGCCAGCACCTCCAGTGTTCAGGAGCCAGTCATTCAAAAAGAAAATAGTATTATTAAACTGCTACTTTCTGAATAGGTATTCAATCAAGAAATATTTGTCAAACATCCTGTTGGGTGCTATTTACTATTCTGGGGATTTGACACATTTTAGAGAACAAAACAAACAAAAAAAATTGCCCTCATGGATAAACTGATGATCAACAACTTAATAAACACACTGGGCATGGTGACTCTTGTCTATGATCCCAGAACCTACAAGGCTGAGGCAGGAGAATCTCTGTGAGCACTTGTCTCAAAAAGAAAGGCAAATCCTAGCTGGGCATGGTGGGGCACACCTATAATCCCAGCGCTCAGGAGGCTGAGGCAGGAGGATCACTGTGAGTTTGGGACCAGCCTGGGCTACATTGTGAGTGAGTTCCAGTTCAGTCTCAACCACCTAGAGAGACCCTATCTCAAAAAACAAAACAAAACAAAAAAAAGGGCAAATCTTAATTAAACCTGCAATGCCTCAGAGGCCAAAGTGCTAGGAAAGGAAAGAAATGGAACGGAACGGAACCTGTAGGTAAAGGGAAATCTGCACATATTCACGAGTGCATGTTGTGATATGACCCATGGGTCACATTAGGCTTTTTGTATCTATGTTTTAGCTTTTGCAGTGCTGGGCTTCAAACCCAGGACCCTGTGCAAGCTAAGAAAGCACTACACTGCTGAGCTGCATCCAGCCTCTTGGATTGCAGTGTTGAGCAGGGGAGTTGATTAGGCCTTCTGAGAAGGTGACCTCTGAGCAGACCCAAAGGAAGCAAGACAGCCAGGTGGATAAGAGAATCTTTTCTGATGGGCCTAGTTCAGCTGAACAGGAAATGGGCAAATCCTTCCTTCCGGTTTCTTCCCCTCTGTCCTGCAGCTGATGGACGAGCGAGACACACTGCCCCTGCTGCAGCCCATCAGGCATCCTGACGCAGGTCCCCACTGCCTCGTTCAGCAGTGGCGACTTCAGAACTCAGGCACTGTGATCGTTTACGTCCAGCCATAAATGTTTATGTGCTGTGAAACCACAGCAGTGCATTCGAAAATGAAAGGCTCCACACCATTTGCTGTATTATTAATAAATCACACTTTCCCAATCAAATTAAAGGCAAGCTCTCTTTCAGAGGTTTTACAAATACCCATCTCCATCAGTATCTGGTTGCAGCTGTCCCAGCCACTTTGAGAAAAGCTCTCTAGACATCCTGTGCTTTCAGATTGTGCTTAGCATTTTCAGCCTGTGGTCCAAGTCTTTGGAGGAGATGTACCCACTGTCAGAGTCCAATCCGGGTACACGCACCTCCCACCTCCCCTCTCCCCCGCCCCACGGCGAGCTGCATTAAAAGGACCAGACTCGGCTCACAAATTAATTCAATTTCATTCCCTTCAGAGTTTTAAGAAATAAAATGGGCCTGTGCCTTTCCATTCCTGCTCTTTAGAAATATTCCTTTTTTCACATTTCATTTTGCCTTAAGTGCTGCCCCTGGGTAAAGGTAATTAGGACTTAAGAAGTAGAGAAAGTGCATTTCTTGCCTCTCTGACTTTCAAAACCAAGCACAATCAAGGACTAAATAGTGTCATAGTCTTAGTGTCAATTATGGCTCTTTCGTATGTTGCCTCAGAACCGAAAGAGGCACCCTCCTGGTAGAAAGTAGTCTTCCCCTCACACCTCTCTGTCTGTCCACCCCGAGTCTTCTGGCTTCCTCCTTTGCTGGTGCGCCAGAGTTCTTTTCATCCAGTCCAAGCGGACTGCCTGCCCGGGGACCCTGCCTTGTCATCAGGCATTCTCATTTAGGGAAATTATAGAAGAAAGCTGTTTTCCTTGGTGGAATAGGAAAGTCAAGGCACTTTGAATGTGTGTCTGGGTTTCCTGCAATCCTACAGAATGAGAGCAAACAACATGCGGAAGTTTCCAACAGAATGAGAAAGATGTTTCATTATTCCCCGCTCCTGGGAATCAAACCCACAGGCTCATGTGTGGATTCATCCACTGAGTACACCCCAGCCCTTCCGCCGAGATGTTTGAAAGCAGGATAATACAGACCTACATCTTTTATAGTCCCACAGCTTTTACTATAAAGCTGATATGTTAGACATGTGATCAGTGCTAAGTCACTGCACTCCAGGTTACCACAACCCCACCTTGATGCTCAACCAAGACAGTTAAGTAAGATTCCGGACCTGCAGAGTCACCTTTTGTGCATTCCCACATCTCCTACCCTCTCCATCTCTCCACTTACTCCCATGGAGCTGGGGAACTCAGTGTTTTCCACTAAGAAGTCACCTTCATCCTGCTGCAGACCATTTTGGGGCCCTGTGGCACAAGGAGATAGGTAAAAACTCTTAAATATCATTTTCTTAGAATGGTAACTATTCCCCTGATGGTAAGGGCAGGGGCAGTAGATTTTTAATCTAAATAGCACTGGTAACACTAAAAATAAATGATTTGGTATATAGACCCATTATAAGAAGATAGTTAAAACAAAGATGAAAGGAAGGGGGAAAAATTAATTGTAGGAGCAAAGCAATATTCTGAAAAAATTATTTTGAAAAACAGAACTATATAGAAATAACAGAAAAGAGAGAAATAAAACCATTTCTCTGCTGTGTTTTAAGCCTTCTAACAATTGAGCTGTAGGTAGTGCATATTTTTGTCACTACCACAGACTGCTTGCTTTGGGTCTGAAAATGGTGTGTGCGTGTATGCACACTTGTGGTAAAACACCATTTGGAGTCGGAACGCCCTATGTTCGAGTCCCCATCCAGAACCGACTCGCACGTACTTGTCAAGCTTCTGTATCCTCCCTGTCCTGTGGGGGTAGAAGGCCACCCACATGAGAGAACTATAGAATATAGTTCTATAAAGCACTGACATTGAAAATTAGAAGCCATCAAACTCTAGTCTGACATTGACGATGTCAACTACCATAGAAAGAAAATCTTATCTTTCCTTTTTTTTTGGAGTAAGGAACAGAGGTAAGGGGAGATGAAGTAAGTGATTCAAGGTCAAAATTCACTCTCAGGTCTGGGCATTCTGGCGCCCAACTTGGATTGGTATTTTGTGTGATTTTGGGGGTGGGGTCTCCATACGTGTGTCTCAAACCCCCGGGTTCATTTGGTCCTCCTGCCTCAGCCTCCAGAGTGTCAGGATCACAGGTGTGAGCCATCGTGCCCAGCTGGGAATTTGTGTTCGTCATCAACACTTTCCCCTGCTTTTCTGTGTAACTCACAGACACTGCACAGCTTTTCTTGGCCCCAGGCTTGCAGTTTTGGTGTTTGTGTATAATTTCAGTGTGCAAGAGCCTCCATGGAACTCCTAAACATAATAGTTCATTTCTCTCCTGTTGGAAATAAGTGCATAAACTTTTGTTGTGTTTTTTGGGAGGTGGCAGTTCAACATACCATAGTGGTAAATTTAAATTATCCAGAAGCAATTTCAATGTGATCACTACTTACTGTTGCAAAGCTATTTCAGCATTAAGAAAAAGCTAGAAATAAATACTATGGGTTGGAGGCGCAGCTCAGTGGCAGAACACGCTGTCGGCCTACAAGGCCTAAGTTTGGCCCCCAGCATCACAGGGACAAAGATGGGCAGACAAAATAAAATATCACTTAAAATGCTGACATCCTACGTCAGTTGTTTTTGCTAGTTCTTTTCCAGTCTTTGGAAATGACGTATATTTTAAATGAAGGTTTTTCTACTTTTTAAAAATAAAGTAATCTGCCTGCCAGAGAGACACACTGACCTGCTGCTGTGGATTCGTGTGGAGCACGGACTTTCAAACAGTGATAAAAGTCTGTTTCTGTGATGCACTGTGTCACGAGAAAATAAAATAAGTGGCACTGTGCCAATAAAGTGTGCCACATTCCCGCGAGAAGACCATGGGCGCTCATCTGTGGGAAAGGAAGAAGATCGGCTCAAAAGTATTTCGGGTAGCCTGGTAACTGAGGGCAAAGAGAAGACGAGGGGGCTGAAAGATCAGGCAGAGGCCTGCAGTCTTGAGAGATGCGATCCCTTGGAAGGATGCCGGCAGAGACGCCCCTTGCAAGGTGCCTGGTGCGCTGTGCACGTTTCCAGGTGGACCGAGCACCGGTTCAGAGGGCAGAGGGCCCCCTACCGAGGAGGAGGGGGCGGGGGAGGGGCGGGGGCGGTCACACGCTCCCTGCGGACCGAAGGGGACACCAGGGCTTCCGATCTTTGTGGTGACCAGGAATGGCTGGATAGAGCTTTAACTTGACCGCAGAAGAAACACAATACAGCCCTCCTAAGTCCATCATTAAACTTCCAGGATGGCTTATAGAATATTTCCAACTGTTCCCTGTTCATGGAGAGTAAGTTAAACTTGGCAAACAGTAATGCCACCTTGAAACCCGCCCCTGGCGTCCCCCAGTAGCTGTATGGCACCCTCGGGACAAACTGAGGGCCCCAGGGCTCCACGGCCAGGCCTCCTGGCTTTCCTGGGAAGGCAGCTCACTGCAGTGTGGCCAGTTGAATAGAGCAGAGGGGAAGAAAAGAAGACTAGATTGAACTTGTAAAAAGAGAGGTGAGCTGGGGCTCTACCCCAGTGACGGACTACTTCCCTGGCATGCAGGAGGCCCTAGCGGGGAGAGAGAGGGAGGGTGTCTCCAAAACGGCTGCTTAGAGCATAAAGGAAGAGACGAAAGCTTGACGCAGAACATACATTTTCTCTTAAACCTGGTGGCCAGCAAGTTTGTTTGATAGCTGTTGGCCGAACTGAGTCCACTCCAGACGTAGCAATGGAAATAAATGTCACTGCAGAGTACTTCTGGAACACCAGTGCCCAGCACCGAAGTGAGGATTGTGTGTTTCATACTGTGGTTTCTTTTGGGGGGGTTAGTTTTTGTTTTTATGGTATTAGGGGTCACACCCAGATGTTCTTACCACTGAGCTACATCCCCATCCCTTTTTTATTTTAAGACGGGGCCTCACTAAGTCCCTGTTGCCCAGGCTGGGCTTGAACTTGAGATCTTCCTACCTCAGTCTCCCAAAGAGGCTGAGATTACAGGAGTGTACCACTCAGCCTGGCTCATATTATGCTTTTTTAACCGAACCTTAAAGTGTGCTATTATATTTTAATTTTATTTTTTAAATTATGTCTCTTAATCAGGCATCTGCATAAATGTACACTAAGTAACTGTACTGAGCAAAACAAAAATAATGATTATCAGCACCATCAAATCAATTCTATATAGTTAGCATCTTATATTTTGACAAGAATTGTTTTCGTCAGGTATTTTTAAAAATACCACATGCACATATCTTTGTATATAAGTTAACAGTAAGGTACTTTGACATAGGGTCAGATTTTAGGATTTGCATATTATAGCTAATTAACAGCCACTGCAATGTCATCCTAAGGGAAAGGTCTATGGGCAACTTATTATCTTCTGTTATTGTATGTCATATTAAAATGACAGGCATCTTACAATATACGAGTCATCAGAATTTCAGCAATTAGAACCAAAAGCAATTTAGCTCAGACCGTTTCTACCTGCACAACGAGTGAAATTTATCCAACGGGGACATCAGTTTAGAGAATATTTCTTCAGCATCTCCCTTGGATTTAATGGCATGAAGATTACATGTAAGAGAGCAGTAAATTAATTTTACTAAGTGCATAAAAGACAAGGCCAGCCGCTCCCGAAATGAGCACAAACTCTGCATTCAACAATGAAAATGTCATTATGTTCGTCATAAAGCGTGAGGAAGTTGCAGATCTGTGTGCTGTTCTGGGAAGAAATCATCCTTCAGAGCTGTGCAGTTTGATAAATTATCCTTGAAAGAAACCTTATCAGAGCCCCCATTTAATAAGCGTGTTTGAGCCTTCAAATTGTCACATAAATGTATGGCTGGAAAGTTGTTGGTATACCAGTTGACTTCCCGAGGCCCAGCTCACTACGTGTATAATACTATGGCACAACTTAGGCTCTTTTCGGTTCTAGTGTGCTGCACTCTCACACGTGAAATTCTAGTGCCCAAACTTAATACAGAACTGTTGGAACTACACACTCATCAAATTTAATCAACATAACTTTGGGGGGCCTGGGTATCAAACCCAGGGCCTCACATATGCTAGGCGAGCCTTCTAGTCGGAGCTGAGTCTCCATTCTTTCCATACCGTGGTTTGAGACGGGGTCTTGCTAAGTTGTTGTGAACTTGCCATCCTTCTGGCGCACCCTGCCCAGTAGCTGGCATTATAGGCAGTGCCTCCCTGAGGTGCTGTTTACTCCATAACACCAAATGAATGAATCTTATAGATTTTTGCTATTTTGTAATACAGTCTTCCTGGTCTAGGCATGAACCAGTGATTTTTCTTTTTTCTTTTTTTGATACCGGGGATCAAACTCGGGACCTTCCGCTTGTGAGGCAGGCAGCGGAACCACTGATCTAAATCCCTGGGTCCATAAACTAGTGATTTTTATTGAAATGTACTCTTTGCGGTGGGGTGGGGGTGAGACAGTCTCACTATGTGGTTGAGACTGACCTGGAACTCACTATGCAGCCCAGGCTGGTCTCGAACTCACAGCGATCCACCTGCCTCAGCCTCCCGAGGGCTGGGATTACAGGAGTCCCCTACCACACCCAGCTTTGTACTCTTACATATTAAGCTACACGCAGAGTGTTACTGGTTCCAAGATTAAGTTGGTAGTATGGGTTTCAGCTACGATTACTTCTTAGTGACCACAGAAGTAGGAGGCACTGACCCAGATTTCGCCTCCCTGGTCACCTCCTCAGGCTTCCCTGCTCTCACTCACTCATCGAGCCAATTTGTCTCTATGGAATTTTTATCAAATGTTGATGATTCTTATCTGAAATGCTGGGAAAGTGAAGTACTTTGGATTTTGGGGTTTTTTTTTTAAGATTTTAGAATATTTGCATATCCATAATGAGGTCTTGGGCCGTGGGACCGAAGTTCAGACATGAACTTCATTGCTGTTTCATGCTGTACACTTGATTGCCCTAGCTGATGATTATTTTCCACAATGTGTTCAGTGATCCTAGGATTTAACGGCAAACTGTCACATGAGGTCAGGTGTGGACTCTTCCTTCTTGTGGAGTCACAGTGGCATTCGAAAAATCCAGATTTTGGAGCCTTTAGGATCTCAGGCTTTTGAATTAAGGATATCAACCTGCCTTATTACCTGATGTGAGACTTTGGCCAGTTTTAAAGAGTTTAGAGTTCAGGCACCGCTTCTAAGGAGGAGCACCCTCCTGAAGTGCCCCTGTGAGAGAGCTGGCGGGAGGGAGGATGGGCATCACCTTGTGCCCCCAGCACGCCTCCCTCCTCCTGTGTCCTGCAGAGCGAGACTGTCTGGTCTCCCGGCCCAGGGTCCGGGCTGCCGCCACTCCACACAATTCTCAAAGAGAGCCCAAAGGAGTGCGTAGAACCCTCGACGTCTGAATCTGGTGGGCAGTTGCCAGCCACCATGGACAGAGTAGGAGAACAGTGCAGTGACGCCGCAGGAGCTTTCCTAAAACATACAGCAACTGTGGCTTTTTCATGCGTAGTTGACTCTCTGTAAACTGACTGACACCTCTGGGGGTCATCTTTCCACGGAGTCATAGTTTTTCTCACTCTCAAAAACGGTTTCTGTACACCCGGTATTCTCTAGTTAGAGCTGAAAATTCAACTCATCCTATTTACACAATAAAACAAAATCCATTCTGCCTTGTTTTTAATTGCAAATTCTACTCAGGGGACTAGTTCTCCTGCTTAGGAGGCAGCCCCGTGCCTTCTCCTGGAGATCCGCGCACAGTCAATTATGGTAATGAAATGTCAATAAATATAAAAATTTAATACAGTCTGCTCTGAGTGAGTGGCAGATGAGGACTTGCCTTCCAGACAAATTTGCTGCTGCTGCAAATATTAAATGCACCTAAAAGAGTATCTGGTTGCCTGAGAGCTCTCCAGGAAAATAAGGACGGGAGGGTCAGGTACCAGCAGGGCTTTCCCATTACACTGTAAGTGCAGCCACAGAGCCAGTACCACCACTGACACCGCCCCAACATCTCAACGTATTATTATAAATGGAACGTCTGTGTCCCCACAAACAACCCAAGCTGGGTGCCTTCCAGCATTTTTTTTTTTTTCCAAACAAGGGGAAATACACCTTTTCTTATTTTCCAAACCAGGGAATTATTCTTATAAATACAGTCCTTGCTGTCTTTAGAGGGAGGCGTATTAATTTGATGGACTCTGATGTAATTGCCTGAAACTAGCAATTTCATATCAGAGCTTTTAAGGAAGCAGTGCACGAAGGGTGCTGAGAATGTGATTCTTGCGTCACCCCCAAAGCACCTCGCACCATGACTGTTCCAGTGCAGCCTCACAATACAAATGGAAATGTGTCTCTGCCTTTATTTTCTTCACATACTCCTTAGCGTCATCATGTGCAGATAGGATGATGTTCTGGGTTCACTCTTTGTGGGTGCTGTCTTTTCAATGTAATCTTGAGAATTAAAAATGTTTATTGTGCCCATGCAATTTTAGAACATATATATATATAATTTGTAAAATCCAGCAATCAAAACCCATTCCCTACAAAGCTCACCACACGACTAGGTTTATTAGAACAATAGTGATACATATTATGTTAATAGAATGTGCCGGAAATGACTTTCAAGAGGAGATCGCCTCTGTTCAGATGTGTATTCAGCATGCCTACACCCACGATTCCTAATGTCGAGTGCAATGTGCAGTGTGTATTTCCGGTCCTGATGCTAGCTGTTACAGTCGATTCTGTGTTGCAGGTGGACTATTCTATAATAGCATCGCAAGCTGGCGCCACCCTCAGCAACCTCATGAGTCACGCACAGGAGCTCGTGGGAAAACTTCGGAACCTACAGTTGGATCAGCGAGAGTTTGTGTGTCTAAAGTTCTTGGTGCTCTTTAGTTTAGGTAAGAAATCCTTTTCTCATGCTAAGTACAACCAAACATTTCTAAATGGGGTAAAGCATCGAGTGTCTTGAAGTCCATACTTATGTTTCTGCTCTGTCAAGATGATGCCTTTTCTTTCGAATCATGAAATCTGCAAGCCCGAATCTGCCTTCATATCTATTTCTCCGCGATCCTTGGCCCATCCGTGGATAGGTCGGGGTGTGGAAAAGGAGTGAATCCAGTTGGAGTCCTGGGTTTTTCTTCCATAACGGGCAGATAAGCGACAGTCAAGTAAATGTACGACAGAGGACACGTGGAGAGGGTGTGGGGCAGTGCGTGGTACCAGATCTTGTCATCTTTCTGCGATCGATCGTTTCTATGTACCTTCTGTCCCAACTTGCTACCTGCTGCTGCTTTTATTCTTCTAAAATGTGGGTAGTAATTAAAAGCCTGTTTTTAAAATCTCTATCAGGATTAACTAGAGCACGTTTATAGCCTGATGCACCACGATGCAAGAATAAAGGATGACAGTTGTCGGGAAAGATGCTTCTTTAGCAAAGCTTTGGAGAAGAAAGATAACTGAGCAAGACAGATTAGCTAAATCAAGGCTCTCAGTGAGCCAGTTGAGAAAAATCACCACTGCTTGGAATAAAAAAAGGATTAAGGAGATGGATTTTTATTGACTTCAAAGGAACAGATTTTTCTGCCTGTCCCTTGCTTGATTTCTGTATTTTGTTGGCTTAATAAAGCCAACTTAAATAAACTTTTGGCCAAGTCCATTTATTCTCTATTGGCAGACAGCTGAGGGAGGCAACTTCCCTTGAATGAAAAAAAAAATGCAGAAATCAGATTTACCAACATATGTTTTTTCTTTATTCTTCAGTTATAAGATAGTTGCAAATTCGTATCTTAAGAAATAAAAAATAAAACAAACTGCAAAGTAAAACAGATGTGTCTGCTCTCCAAAAAGGGCACTTCAGATTTAAAAATTCCTCTTGACAGCACCGCACAACTGTTGCTAATAAAGAAATAGTTTGAAGTAATAAGAGCTAATTTTTCATATGTAGTCATCATTTAAAATTAAAAAAAACTTTTTCATATTTTTGGAAAATGTGATAAATATAGCAAAAAACAAATGTTACTGAAAATTTACAAAGACAACAGGATTTTATAGATGTGGTGTTCAAAAGTTTGCAGTGCCAGGACTGGATCCCGTGTGGTTTATGCATGCACCACAATGAACCAGAAAGTTCCATTCAAGTGAGTCTGTGCCCGTGATCCCCCCGGCGCTGTTAGCGAATCCTGAGCGAGATAGCGCAGGCTGGCTTGCTGTAATCTCGCGGTCATTCCGGTTTATGGCAAATCTTAACCTTTTCTACTGGTGCATTTGATCAGTGATCAAATGGGAAATGTGGCAATGTGTGTGTCAGAAATCTCATGGCATCTTAGTAATAAAACATTTAGAGAGAGTCCTCTCACCTCTAAGGTATTTTAAATTAGCTAATGGGCTGGAGGATATTTGAAGAGGTACCCATGAAGCAAGAGCCACCTTCAGATCTCGTCACTTCTATGTTGCCTTTCACCGTTTCCCAAAATTATTCCATCCTCTGCCAGTCGTGGGTGGATCTAACATGTTTTGAAACTTTGAACTTTATTATCGATCGTCTTCCTGAATGACAAACTGACCTGAACCTCAATCACACATTCTGTCACCGAATAGGTGTGTCGGCTGCTTCGGGGGTGGAGGGCGCCAGCAGCCCAAATGCCTATTAAAACCGTGTGTACTTGTCTTTCTCCCTGCCCACCCACCCACTTTCTGTGGTGCTGGGCATCAAACCCAAGGCCCCCCCAGTGCTGAGTGCACACTCTGTCACTGAGCTACATCCCCAGTCTCTAAAAAGTGTCCACGTTTATTTAAGGATGAGGGTTTGACCATGAGCTGAGTTTGTTTGTTGAGACAGGGTCTTGCTGTGTTGTAGTTCATGCTGGCCTTGAACTCACTACCTAGCCCACCCTGGCCTTGAACATGTAGTGATCCTCCTGCCTCAGCCTCCCCAGTGCTAAGATTACAGGCATTCATGACCACACCTGGCAAGAGTTTGTTTTTAGAGAAGCAGAGGAAAACTAACTGGCCGTAAAATTTAGGTAGGTCCCGATTTATGAGTCAAAAATTCTCTTCCTCATAGAAACAATAGATAATTGATCTTTTTCAAAAATTTCAACTTTATTGAGCTATATGAATAGTCAACCTTTGGAATCCCAAGCTTATTTTATCTGTGAAGGAGAAAGAAACCATATGGAGTCACCCTTAAGACCCCAGTCCAAGTCCTAAGCTGCTGTCTCAAACCCCCGTGAATCTTGAGTCTGAGTCTGAAATCAAGTGGGTTCCAAAGGGGGACAAAAAAGAGGATTTTGTGGGCTGTCAGAGGCCGTGTTGAGATGGCTGCTGAGGTGGTTTCCATGTGAACAAGGAGCCAGCCTTTCCCAGACAGTTTGCTGAGAGAGGGCAGGGTGAGATCCCAAGGAGGCACAGATCCAACCCAAAGCAACGGCCCTGCCAATGGGAAGGTAAGAGCTCAGGCTGAGTGGGGAGCAGCTCATGGGTGAGTTCGGCCTGAGGGACTGAGTGAGGGAGGGCAGAGGGTGAGGAGTAGGTGAGAACCTGGCCACCTGCCCAACGAAGCACAGGCCTCGGATCCTGTCGAGCAGTGGAGCACTTACCGGTGTCCGACGCTGAGGCGGGCGCTGGGGAGGCAGTGTCTGCAAAAGCGTTTTGCGGAAGCGTTTCATTGGTCAGGCGAACGGGAGGCATTGCAGGGCTCTTAAAACCCAGGTGCAACGGTGGCTGGGGTTGAGTTGCGTTTCTGGTAGTGAGGGGGAAAGATCTGACCACTTCACGAGACGTGAAAGAGGTGAGGGACATGGACACGAAGGAGTTTGCAAAGCACAGGATGTGACAGGACTGGAGTGGGGAGATCTACAATGGGTCTCAGGATTCTGGACCCTTAGTGAGAAAGAAAAATCTGCAGAAACAGCATTCGATGTTTGAGGCAAAGTAAGATCCAGGCACAGCACCCACTTCTCACCCCCTGAAGTCATTTTTCACTGACCCTGACTCACAGTTGTAGGACAAGCTAAATGACAGGACTAAAATCAAGTCTTCCCCGCTATCTGACTCACAGTTGAATCAATGACCAAACGTCACTTGGTTACACTGCTCAAACAAGGAAAAGTAAGAAATTCCCTCCTCACACGCACTCTCTCCCCGTCCCTCTCCATCATAACACTGCGCTTTGTGTGATAGAACCTGGGGCCCAGCCTGTGCTTGTAACGTGTTCTGCGGTTCTGCCAAGGTACCGTGTTTGGCTGCCTGACTGAGATAATTGAATTGTGTTCACTGATAGCACAGCAGAAAAGGAGATATTCTGAGTTGGCCATTTAAAATTCATGACCCAAGAGAGGCCAAAATAACATTTTTAATATTTGTTTATTTGCTTTTTACTCCACCCTCTAACAAGGAATCAAAGTGACAGATGAAAGGAAATTTACAGTCTGTCACCCATCAGGGGAACATGAACCCTCCAGAGGAAGTGGTGATTGTGATTCTCTGTCATTGTGTATGCATTTTGGATAAGTAGAATTCCCACAACTTTATTACCCCCTGCAAACAAGGGCAGAACGGAAAAGCAGACTTAGTTTTGAAACGTGGCCAGGTACAGTGGTACACGTCTGTAATCTCAACACTCAGGAGGCAGAGGCAAGAGGATCACAATGAGTTCAAGGCCTGCCTGGGATACATAGGGAGAGCCTCCCCCAAAAGGCAGCATCTTGAATAATGCCAGAGAGCTCTCTGGAAGACCCAGTCTCAGAAAACTCGCCTGCACTTGAGATGTGACTTTTTGGCTAAATTATCTCTAATCACCTATCATGATTAATTTGGTAATGGCTTGGTTTTGAGTTTAAATACATCCATTTATTCATGTATTTTATTAGTAAGCATTTTGTAGGTCCTTCCTGTGTACCAAGCAATGTTTTAAAGCCTGGCACAGCAAGAAAACAGGACAATTTCTAACTTTAGTGGAAAAGGAGCATTGAATTCTACCGCTCAGAAGCAGTTGCAGACCAGAGCAGTCCCATTCAGGGGAGCTAGTTCAAGCCCATCAACAATATAAATGTGATGTCAATGCTCAAAGCTACGCGTAAGCAGCACGTGCCAGCTAAGATGCCATCCAGATGTCACTTGGCCTGGAGATTTTCTTAGCCTGGAGACTCAATAGCTGAATGCTGCTGGACTTGTTTTTGTTTTGTTTTGGTTTTTTTGTTTTTGGAGACAGGGTCTCACTATGTAGTTAAGGCTGACCTGTATGTAGCACAGGCTGGTCTCGAACTCACAGCGATCCTCCTGCCTCAGCCTCCCGAGTGCTGGGATTACAGGCGTGCGCCACCACGCCCGGCCTGAAAGCTGCTGGACTTGTATTTTAAATATCCCGGGTGGCAAAAGTAAGAACTAGAAGCAGATTATTATGTCCTATTTCCTCTAATGAGTATCCTTGATTTGTTGTAGCTAATTCTCTTTTCTGGTCAGCCAATATTTCTGAAAGCATGTCTTATATGTAACTAAGTTACATCAACTGTCATTTTCTTTGAGTTGAGAAGATTTCCCAAGTCAAAAAAGTGGCTCACATTTGGTTCAAGTCCCCTTAAACTTACACTTTCTAGCTCCCCTGAATGGGACTGCTCTGCTCTGCAAGAGCTTCTGAGCGGTAGAATTCAATGCTCCTTTTCCACTGAAGTTGAAAACTGTCCTTTGTTTTCTTGCTGTGCCAGGCTTTATTTAGAACATTGCTTGGTACACAGGAAGGACCTACAAAATGCTTACTAATAAAATACATGAATAAATGGATGCATTTAAACTCAAAACCAAGCCATTACCAAAGTAATCAGGATAGGTGATTGGAGATAATTTAGCCAAAAAATCACATCTCAAGTGCAGGCGAGTTTCCTGAGACTGGGTCTTCCAG